ATAGTGAAACGATTTGCTAAAGGCAGGCTCAGGTCGACACGGAACTGAAAGGAACTCAACTCAACTCAACTCAACTCCTCGACATGAGTGCTCCGCGCAACTGAAAGGAACTGAACGCAACTGAAAGGAACCTGGCTCATGTCGACTGGCAACTGAAAGGAACTATTGGCTAAAAGAAAAAATTTAAGTTTAAATATGAAATAGGCCATATAATCAATTGTTTATGTGGTCAAATAAAATGTTTATTTGACCACTGAACAAGCTTATGTAGGAATTGGGTAAACTTGAAAAACGGTCTGGCATAAAATGGGGTCTAAATCTATTCCCCTATGGTCGTACATTGTGCCGAAAGAGTGTGTGCTTGTTAACTTAACCAGAGGGCTCCCTCCTCTATTCTCGCATACTTATAAACTCAAGCCTTCGGGCTTAAAGGGTTATTCTCCGCTGCTTCCAATGTTAGGGTGTTAAAGTCCTGTTTATACTAGCAACGATAACGATAAAAAGGTAAAAAGCAATTGTCCATATAGAAAATAAAAGAAATAAGAAAAGTTTTTTACACTAGGACGATTTGATAACGATTTATCGTGTATCGATAACAAAATATTTTTACAAATCAATTCAAATGACGTCATAACCATGGAAAAATTATAAAATCGTTGTTACTACTACGATTTTATCGTTTTCACCGATTATGACGTCATTTGAATTAATTTGTCAAAATAGTTTGTTATCCTATACACGATAAATCGTAATCTAATCTTCCTAGTGTAAAAACTTCTGTTATTTCTTTCATTTTTTTTATGGACAATTGCTTTTTAGCTTTTTGTCGTTATCGTTAATAATATAATAATATAACTAGACTTACTAAGTCTGTTTGAACATTAGAACACAGGGCTTTTCCCCATTGCTTGAGAAATGAAGTTGAAATTGCAACAAAAAGAAAAGTCGTTAAAAGGTATAAAGTAAAAAAAAAACACGGAAAAACAATATAAGTTTAATGAAGTGGAAAAAAATAAAGTAGGGGTGAAAAAAAAAAACAACGAAAACCAAGTTTACTGCGAAGTTATTAGTGAGTTTTTAATGACGATCCGTTCAGACTGGTACCGACAATCAGCAGACGGCGTCGCGTCGTCTGTGCTCACAGGGAGCGGAGTTGGATTCGTTGTGGGACGGTGGTACGACCGTCCAACGACGCAGTGAGTGCCCGACTTTCCGGAAACGGTAAGGAAAGTCGTCATCAGTCGTCGGAAACCAAAAACAACATATGGACATCAAAGATAAATAAAAAGAACCAAAAAAAAAACAATAATTCATTGGGCCTACTTAAACTTTAAATTTAGACCTTTGGACCATCTGATGTCGTAGACAGTTATATAAGATGGAAATGCTTAACAGATGATGACAATTTAGAAAAATATAACATCATACAATATGAAATAATATGGTAATCTATTGCAGATATTATTTTGTCTCAGCACAATGTTGATCTGGTGGGCGCGCGTCTGAGCTACGATTAACTCGAGTTTTAAAACTTAGCCAATACTTCCATCAAAACGCACTTGCAGCCATTTATTGTAGTGGCATCATATTTGCAGACTTCTCAAGTTAAAATACATTTCAGTAAGTTTTCAAATATCCGTAGTAAATAGGCCTACAACATTTCCGTAGCCGCCTTGAGTGCAAAATATGGGTTGCTTAAATTACAGGCGGGTGATAACAGATGTGGATTTTCAAACAAACAGGATGAAGATTTATAGGTGGCACTTTTTTCTGAGTTTTACAATAGTTTATCAATATAAAATAAATGACAGCAGCACTTTTGAGACTAACGATATAGAGTTTATTCTCTAGCTTTCGTCCACACTGAGTGGACTTCATCAGGACCAAAACAGCCAGTCCAAAAACAGGAACAAATCTCGGAAGTCCACTGTGTGGACGAAAGCTAGAGAATAAACTCTACAGTCTCAAAAGTGCTGCTGTCATTTATTTTACAGTGTTCTATAGCATTAACATACTAACGCGACTACGTAACAATTATTCATTATGAATAATTTATCAGTAATCTGACAAGAATAAGTTGTCTATACTCAATGTAACTAAATATCCTGATGGAAAATTCATTTGTTCTGGACTTTATACCAGTTTATTTATGGGTTTAGTCCTCTTTGATAAATTTCCGTAGTATTTTTGTCTATTTCCGTAGGTCAGTAATTAAGCAGAATTTCCGTATCTTCATGCTGATTGGATACTGACTAAAATCTTCCAATTTGTTAATACTCTATAATATAATAGATATTAAACCGTCATATCGAATAATGTAATACATAGGTCTATTATAAATATTATATATAGGCCTATAATATAAAATGTATAATTGGCCTAATAACTTAATGTAAACCATTATATACAGTATTATATCCTCATTATACGGTTCGCCCTCCAATTCGAGACTACATTTGGACGTGAATTGTGGTTGTGGTGCACTTTATAAAGCATACCGTAATTAATAATACATGAATATTAAAAACAGGTGATGAACAACGATGATGAATGATAAATGAAGTAAATGATAACTACGGTTTAATAAATCGTACCGTGTATCGTAAATCAAAAAAAAATTAATAGGCTAGATATAACAGTAAATTTAAAAAAAAATAATAATTTGAGCATAGGCACTAGTAGAAAAAAGAAAGAAAAACAACATTCTTATTTAATGTTTTTAGGATTACAGTATTATTTTGTTTTCTTTTTACCGTTTTTGAATTGAGAAGTTATTTTTACGTTAACAGCCACCGCTTCATGTTAAGTGTTTTTATGTTTTTATCTGTTGTTCTTTGGAGTATATCGTTTTTCCTCTTATGCTTTTTAAATTTAGAAGTTATTATACAGTATTATGTAAAACTTAATGTCATATCCTGAGGCGACGTATATCGCCGTTGGATTTTGTTGAAATAAAATAAAATAAATTATCGTTTTTTTATCGTGAGTACAGGAAAAAACAAAATTTTACTGAATGTCTAATATCGAGATTCTGAAGGCAAAGTTAGTTTTTAAAGAAATTAAAACAAAATGCGTAGACATATAAATATAAGAATTTCTTATAAAATAAATATGATGTAGACTTTCATACCAAGATGGACATAGTTATAAAATAATAGGGAACTTCATATCTTGTCAAAAATAGTCGAAAGTGTAATACAGTAGTACATTTCCTACCGCCCGCCCTCAAGCATCGCCCATCTTTCATGACCTGCGCGTGATGACACGGTCAGAGTTGAATTGGAATGATGAATTTCATCAAAAATCCTACCGAAAATCCTAGCCTTTGAAGTAAGTATAATTGTAGTTTTACTCATTACATTGATCAATAATGGCATTTGTTAGTATGAATTAAAAATGCATTTGGTATAAATTAAAAAAACAGTATCTAAAACCAGTTAAGTTTGTAAATTACATATTTAAGAATTTGATAGCGAAGGCTAGCACACTTTTTTGCAGTGTTGCTTTTGCTTCAGCGCGGAACCCCGCTTCAACTGTGGCTGATGACGAATCAAAAGGAAGCTAGCAGTATGCAAATGAGAGTGACGTATTGTTTAGTCCATGCGGTCGACCCTGGCCTAGTCAGCCATTTTGTGCATTTCTCGTTTGTGAAACCGTGCACAGAAAAGTGGATGGAAATGATAATAATTCGTGCTAAACGCCTGTTCAAGTTGCTTCTAACTAAGCTCAGTACATAGGCCTATGTTTTCTTCTCCCTCCAACTGGTTAAGCTTAGGCCTAACCTAGGCAGTATTTCTTGCTTGCTTTGTGGTGCTGTATTGTTGTCATTTGTAAACTAGGCCTAGCTTGCAATCCAGTGCTGCAATCAATATTCACCCTACTCAATCAAAAGATCACATACAAGTAGTACAAAATTCAGAAAGTAGGCTGTTTTAGCACTTATGGATGACTATGTTGTTTAACTAAACTATTTCATATTTATTTACATACAGGCCTAGGCTATCACACTTTCAACAAAGCACTCTAAAAAATCCAGCTAAGTAATGTCATGAGCGAATAATGAAACAGTCCTACATGTGACCCGCTACTCTATGATAGTACTAATAAACTGTTTTTCAAAAATTTCACAAATATTACATGAACAACAAAAAATAATTGGGAAAAAAAGAAGCTTAGTTTTATTCAAATACTTTATGTTGTTTTGTGTTTTTTACAACTTATTATTTTATTAATTTGCTAATTAACATTTTAAATAGAAACTCACAAAACTTATTTATTGAGAGCCTCATAGACCAACAGCATTTTAAATGCTTTTTTTATGCAATCACCTACGCTCATGCTAGGTTCAAATTTTCTTTCGCCAAAATGGTGAAAAATGACAGTTAGTTTTCACGGTATTTGGTAGTGTAGGCCTATGCTTGTTGTTTTGTTATTTCTTTTTACAAATGTTTACATGACTTATCATCTGGTTTTAGAAGTAGATTTTTGTGTTTGGACCGAATAATACTTTCAGAATTAGGAGATTCGGAATACATGTATTATTTTAAGTACAGTAGTATAATATAATATTAACTATGTTTTAAATAACAAAATCGTTGAAAAAATATCGTTTTAGTGTTCTCTTTAGATCAAGGGAAAAATGCTTCCAGTGTGTGATCAGACTGTTTGTTTTAAAACTGCCCATGCATATGTCCGTACACATACTGAGGTTCATGAAAAATAATATTTTTGGTACAAAAATATTTGTCGTATTCGAGGCGCTACACCAAATTTCTTGTTTTTGTATATTCTTGGAATAATTCAAGAAGCATGTTATTATGATACAGCCATTTTGGATTTTTGTTTGAAATGTACATGATGTTTTCTCATTGTTACAACACAATTTGGGCCTACCACCAAAATTGTTTTTTTTTTTTTTACATGATAATATATCCAACTACTGTATTGATCTGCCTTTTTTTTTGTGCATATCAAGATGCTTATTATTTATCGTTAAAGAAAATTGTGTAAAATTTTATTTCAATTCAACTTAACTTTCATAAAATTTTACAAAATGGAAGGATACAGTAAAAATGTATTTAAAACAATTATGGTGTATATTTTCTGATGTTGACTTTCATTATGCATCAAATATGCATGAATTATTTTTTTAAATCCTATTTTTACAATAAAGTTAATTTGTTTGAATTGGTGACCTTACAATGCTTAAACCATAGGAGTAAGCTTCAGAATCATTGTTCATTTGGTTTGTACTGACCTACCTGTAGAATGAATAAATTCTTTATTTATTAACCAATAAAATATGTTCATTAGTTGTACTATAGTTTTAATTTATCTGGTCTTTCAAATTTAATATTGCTAAATATAGTTTTCACCACAGCTTGCAAGTACTGTACAGTTATAGATGAAAGGTTTTTATGTCTTTCATTCTTCTGTTTTGCTGTGTTTTTTTTTTTTCATTAATAAAATGTTCATATGTTTCATATACAATATCATGCTTCATAATCTGCCTTTGTTTAACATTCGATGGTGTACATTATACTGTAATACTGAGCTGTATTTCTGCCTCAAAGTCGTGGGTGCGCTGATGCGATGCATGCAAACAGTTTAGAGGTTTAACCTGGAATGAATTCCTATTGACGTTGATGGATTGTTATTTGTGCATGTGTAAGGTGCACACTCACTAGTCTACTTGTTGAATATTGATTCAAGTGAATGTGTGGGGTTTTCCTTGATGAATATAAATTAGAATTAATTATAACTTGATTATTTTGTCCCAATATTATATCAGTTCTAGATACATGTTTTAAAACCTCCATTTTACGAACGTCGATTTTATGAATTGTCTTTGTTCCTGATGACGTCATCATCAACCAATTATTACCGTAAAAAATGTCTGATTGTGAATGTTTTACAAAGTGATAATGTATATTTTTCTTAATAAAATCAAGTTATGTCAAAAACATCCAGAACAACCAACTACCAAGGCAAGTAGTGTTGTCGGACTGAGCGCACATGTTTACAATGACGAATAAACAATGGTGTTAGGCTCAAAACTTATTGATATCATTAATGCTAGATGGTCGCTGTATGAATGTAAACAACACAATTCGGCGATCTTAAAACTAGAAAGAACACGATAGAAAGGTCCTTAATAATAATAATAATAATAATAATAATAATGTTTTAATAAGAGTTAAAAATAATATTTTGTAAAGTGGAAGTATGTCAGCGATTACAATAATTTGGTTTTTTATCGAAGGTAAATTCAGCTGCAGTAGGCTATAGCGCGGTAGACCACACTGTTGCATTGTCGGTTCGTGCTAGACCTGGCTGCCGTCAGCATATCGGCGCTCAATGGCAGAGGATAGCTAGGCCTAAGAAACTGACGCCCGATCTAGTTTACAAATGTTTCAATTTACGAACACCCCATGGTAACAAGGGGTACGTAAAATGGACATCATACTGTACTTGTTAAAAATTAAAATTGTGGAAGAACATACTCACCATAAATGCTCGAAAAGCGCCACTCTCAACTTAACGCTGCTCTCAAATAAGCGCCGCACCAGACCTGTTTTTTTTTTTACCCACTGAGTGCCGCTCTCGAAGAAGCACTGCAGTGCTTAATCGAGAATATATTATTAACCTTCTGTAATGAAACACTTTTGAGAAACAGTTTTAAATACAATAACACAATGAAGACGCTGCATTTCTTTATAAATGTTTATTTACGATGACGTGGGACCAATGGTAGGCTTACTAAACTACGAGAATATGTGAGATAGGTAACATGGGAATGGGCACTTGAAGCACCACGCCAATATTTTTTCATAAGCGCCTCTCTGAAGGGCTTCTCCAAAAATGTTACAAGCGCTGCGGTGCTTATTCAAGCATTTACCATAGTATGTAATAAGTAACTAGGCATTTCAAAAGGCAAACTCTAGAGGCTAGGAAATCTGTTTAAAGTAAAATGTTTTAAGTGGTGGTAATATTTTTACAGTAATTCATGTTCAGTTACTCATCAACGCTTGTTCAGCCCTACTTGTCTCGAAAGATGTACTGGGTTCTTTATAGTGCACATGAGCCAATTCTGTGCACTGGGCCTAGGATTTACAGTCCTTATCCGAGAAGACTTGTTCCACCTCCCGAAGCATAGGGAAGCGTGCCTTTCGAACCAGCGCCAATATTTTGGCTGTAGGTTGCGGCGCCCCTGTCGTAACTGCTCGGCCATTTGACTCCACATTAGCACAATATTTCCGACATGCATACTGGTAATAATTGATTTGTAGTTGTACTGTGCGAATGTGACCATGACCAGTTTGCCCTACTTTTTATGAATGAAAATTTTTTTTTATATGATTCCGCCCGCATGGCTTTGCCGAGAACATTCGTAATTAATCTAATATTTTTTTATGGGGCCTTGAGTTTCAATGCTTAGTCTTGCTTGAAATACTCGTAAGTTTGGTTGATGACAGTGGAATTGTGATGCTGTTTTTTGTTTTATTTCTTTAACTGGAAATTCCATGATTGATAAACATTTCTAAAAACTGGCTATGTAACCCCTCCTGGATGTACTTGACTGGTACTGTACATACTGCAGTGCATTAATTTTTTTTTATTTTAATGAAGTTGTATTGGTACTGTATTTTGTTACTTGAATTTTGTTAAATTAAAAGTAGACAGATACTGTATATATGGTACACATACTTTATTGTCTCTATTGCAAATTTGGTTCACCATAGAATAGCTCCTTGATATATATGCTAACTGTATACTGTAATACCCACACTGGAATGGTTTCTTTCAGGTTTTAGCACCTCTTCCCCCCTCCCCCCAAATTCAGACTGGTATAGGAATGCTATGCAGTGTGCACCTAAAATACCAACTTGCAAACAACCCTGAAATAAATAGCTTTTGAACCCTCTTTTGGGACACCTCAATTAAGGAGACACTCTTTTTGACACCTCTACAGGTGAGATATCACCGTCATAGCGATTCTACTACTGGTTAATAATATTTATACTTGGATTAGATATTTAAAAAGCTAATGACCAATAAAATCCTACCAATATTTATTATAAAATTTAAATGAAAATCTAAAGTTTGGTTCACTTGACCTAATATTCTGATATATTAAATATGCTGTGTAGCATGTTTATTTATTTTTGTTATTCAGGTCGAAACCAACAGCGATTAAGACTGCCACAAACAAGTTGAATGTAAACTTACATATACTGTATGTGATAATAAAAAACAAATGTTAAAAATTGAATATAAACTAGTAACAAGTAATAAGCAGACTTTTAAATTTGTTGGGCAATTGTTTTGCAATAAACTATGAGTAGAACCCCCCCCCCTCCTTTTGGACACTCCTATTAGGGGGGACACTTTTGGATATTTAATGAGGAAAAGTATATCTTTTAACACTACAGCCAACCTATTCAGGGGACATTTGTTTTTTATCCCAAAATTGTACCCCTTTAATAATACTAGGAGTTATACTGTAAGTTTTCATATTTTGATATTTTTTGTTATTACATTTAGTAGTTGGCTATACAGTCCTGAAGGCTGCAAAGAAAATTCCACTAATTGATGAACAATTTACTGTGGTTAGTTCATAATCAATCCCATCATATCCATTTGGATTGTTCAGGGGAACTGATATTTAGGTATGGTAACCTACAGGTCAGCAAACCCCATTCCAAGGCCTAGATATCCCCTGGAATGTCCGAAATGGTTGTATCAAAAATTGCCTAGAATATTTATGATGCCTCAAGTTACTAATATTTTATACTATTACTAACTATACAGTACTATGTACTGTATGGTTTTCAAACACGAGGTGAAGGTTTATCACACACTTTAATACAGTTGTGAGACTTTGTGTACATAATATGAATATATAATTTGTATAATGTGTATATAATTTAATAATGGATCCAATTTACTGAGGTATACTGTAGGCCTGCCCGTGTGTGTCAACTCTAATTTATGTGCAATTTTCATTGAGTATGTTGACACCTGTAGGTGAGATATCACCTTCATAGAGATTCTACTATGATTAATAATATTTAATTGGATTAGATATTTTTAAAAGCTAATGACCAATAAAAGCCTACCAAAATTTATTATAAAGTTTAAATGAAAATCTAAAGTTTGGTTTACTTGACCTACAGATATAATATATATATATATATATACTGTGTAGCATGTATATTTATTTTTATGTTATTCAGGTCGAATTCAGGTCGAAACCAACAGCGATTAAAACCGCCACAAACAAGTTGAATCTAAACGTTATATATCTTGTATGTGATAATAAAAAACAATAATGTTAAAAATTGAATATAAACTAGTAACAAGTAATAAGCAGACTATTAAAATTTGTTGGGCAATTGTTTTGCAATAAACTATGAGTAGAACCCCCCTCCTTTTGGACACTCCTATTAGGGGGACACTTTTGGATATTTAATGAGCAATAAGTATATCTTTTAACACTACAGCCAACCTATTCAGGGGACATTTGTTTTTTATCCCAAAATTGTACCCCTTTAATAATACTAGGAGTTATACTGTAAGTTTTCATATTTTGATATTTTTTGTTATTACATTTAGTAGTTGGCTATACAGTCCTGAAGGCTGCAAAGAAAATTCCACTAATTGATGAACAATTTACTGTGGTTAGTTCATAATCAATCCCATCATATCCATTTGGATTGTTCAGGGGAACTGATATTTAGGTATGGTAACCTACAGGTCAGCAAACCCCATTCCAAGGCCTAGATATCCCCTGGAATGTCCGAAATGGTTGTATCAAAAATTGCCTAGAATATTTATGATGCCTCAAGTTACTAATATTTTATACTATTACTAACTATACAGTACTATGTACTGTATGGTTTTCAAACACGAGGTGAAGGTTTATCACACACTTTAATACAGTTGTGAGACTTTGTGTACATAATATGAATATATAATTTGTATAATGTGTATATAATTTAATAATGGATCCAATTTACTGAGGTATACTGTAGGCCTGCCCGTGTGTGTCAACTCTAATTTATGTGCAATTTTCATTGAGTATGGAGTAATTCTACCTAGGTTTGAAATAAAAATTCTACATTTTCTGAGGCCTAGGACAAAGGCAGATACTTGTCTGGCTTAATAATTACTCAACCTCTGAACAAGTGTGCCAGCTCACAATTTGATTCGGGTCCTCGGGTAACCTTTAACCTGTAACACCACCCCTGAAATTGGTCTAATGTCGCGCAGATTGGGGAAGATGTGGGCTTATAATACCGTGAAGATCGTTCAAATCTCCTTTTAAATGAAAGTAATATTCAGATATTATATAATGAAACTGCCATACTTGATTAAAGGTGTAAGATATTATTACTCTGTGGTCATTGAACCCATACTGTAGCTTGATAAACTAGTACAAAGTGCAAATGTCTGTGCTCCATGGAGAGTAGAGAGTATACATTTTACTACAGTACAGTGTTCAAGAACTAAAATATACAGCATTGAATGTTACAACATCTATTAGGTACCCATACTTTTGAGTGAATTTATTCCGATCATCTTCAAACTGTGGGAGCGAGAAGTGGTCAAAACCTTTCAAAGAATTAACTTTGCAATTTCCAGAAGTGTGCACCAATAAATTATTCCGATTCTTTGTTTAACGGAAAGAAATTTTTTTAAAGCCTAAGTCATAAGAATGTAGTCATTTTTTGTAATTACATAAAAATGTAATTTTTATTTCTCTTGTTATGTTTCTAGACAGGGGCTACGATGAGGATAATTATAAATATATTGGATGGTTACTGAAACGAACTGTAATCCTAGTGAAAAATCGCTGAAGGTAGCCACAACATGGAAGAGGAAAAACCAGGCCAACCGTCATCTAATGAAGTACATGCAACTTCGACTGACCCAAACTTCTATTTTGATGATATAGTGTGTAAGTTATTTTTTTATTTTATTAAACATAATTAGCAAGTCCCCTTTGAGTTTTACAGTACTTGAATAATGTAGACTTGCCACAAGTCCCTTATTATTCTTTCTCATTCTGGACAGTGCCACCAACGAGCAAGTTAATTTTGAGGCAGAATAAGCAGCTTGAAAAACACTGCATGCAGGTACCCGGGTATGACAAAAATGACGTAATCTTACATTCCTTATGTGGATAAATGGTTGGACCGAAATAAACACTTTCAACCAATCACTATGCTCACATTTTCAAAGCCACAAACGTGTACAGAAACTGAGTCAAGTCTCGCATTGGCTAGTTAGACGTGGCTAAAAAATAGTCTCCCTAATAAAACGGACCTAAAATAAATAGAATAGACCCTGGGACGAGTGGACAGTGGCAAAGGCAAACTAAGCTTAAGCTAGATGGCCCACATTACAAATGTACAGCACAACTTTTCGGGAGGATGGCCTACTAGGCTACTAGTTTAGTACTAGTAGTAGAGAGAGGCATGGGCCAACTTTCAAGTTCTTATTTAATAATACAGTTTACCTTTTTAACAATGTTCTGCAGTACACTAGGCCTAAATCTGTGTAGTTTAGTGGTGAAACAGGGTTTTCTATAAGCCACTATATCAGTCCATTACGTCGTTCAGCAGGCCAAGAACTAATTTATTAACTGCTGCCAAGCTTTGCCGTCAAGACACTGCACATCTTCAATTTGAAAATTACCAAGATTGATTAATATGCATGAAATAAGCCAATCACGTGACTTACAAAGTCATTCATCCATACGATATCACACATCAAATTTGATGTGTTACATCGTATGCACGAATGATCAGGCAGTGTTTTCCCAGGCCCTAATTCGGGGTAAAAAATTGAGTATGGGATGCCAAATAAATTCAGTATGGCGTGCAATAAATAGTGAGAATAGAGTGCTATTTAGTGAGCTTAAAGGCACGACTTCTTACACAGTACCTTGTTTAGCAAGCTCAACAATATTAAAAATATGGTCCAGCCAAAACATTACAGTAAAGCAAGGAGAAAATAAAAATTATTAACGTTTCCGGGTCTCTATTTCCAGTTAAATCCAGTTAAATGACAAACGAAATGTCCATGCTGTCAATTTTATATGCGCCAAATAAATGTGATATGCCCATATTTGGGTGTAATATGACATCATCATGTCCCTATATGGGCACATCAAACAAATTTGTCATATAAGATTAATAGTGTGGACAGCAAAAGAATACCCAACAGTCAACTGTCATATCCTGATTGATAAACTAATTGATTATTTGATAGAATAATTTACATTATTTATATATATTTAAATTCATTTTTACCTTGGTATCTAGATTTTAAGGAGGAGAATTGCATTATATCAAATTGTAGCAATCATTCACCTGATAAGTGTAGGCAGTCAAAATTCCTGCTTTTCCCTGTCAGACCAGAATGGAAGGAGATCATAGCAAGCCAGGTAGACGAAGAGGTGAACCTAGACCAGGAGGATGTTAGAATCTGCGGCAAGCACTTTGCCGAACCGGCAGCAGAAGACCTTGCTCCAAGTCTCTTCGGTTTCGAGACTTTAAGGGAGCATGCAGGTATTCCATTTAGAGCACAGAAGTGGTGTTGTATAAAGAACTGTTCCAACGGGTATCAGAAGTACAGTGGCACAACGACATCCATCAGGAAACCAGCGGTCTATTATCCGCTTGCAAAACTTGCTGATGATGATGTTGGAAGATCACTAATGAAGGATTTGTTGGCAAAGGTCAATGGTATTGAAGATCACTCGTCCTTTATTTGTCATCTACATCTGAAGGTACTACATATAGATGATGAAGTAACTGATGCAGCAAATTCCAAAAACAGTGAGTT